AGTCAGAGCCCTCATTACAGTAGCTGTTAAACATCATTGGACCATATTTCAATTAGATGTCAACAATGCATTTCTTCATGGGGATTTAAATGAAGAAATTTACATGAAACCACCCAAAGGCATGCATCTTCCAAATCCTAACCAGGTTCTCAGGTTAAAGAAATCCTTATATGGACTTAAACAAGCTTCTAGACAGTGGTATTCCAAGCTGCGCACTGTTTTGAGGTCTAGGGGCTATATTTCCTCCAAAAATGATTATTCCTTGTTTACCAAACACATAGATTCCTCTGTTGTTCATCTGGTGGTTTATGTGGATGATATTCTCATCACAGGAAATCATCCTACTGAAATCTCCAATCTCAAGGATTATCTCCATCAGCTCTTTAAGATCAAAGATTTGGGAAAAATGGGCTACTTCCTTGGTCTAGAGGCAGTCTATAAGGATAATGGCATTATCCTTACTCAACAGAAGTTCACTAAGGATCTCCTCTCAACTTTTTCATGTCCTCCATCCTCTCATGCCATCTGTCCTTTACCAACCAATATACAGTTGGATCTTCAAACTGGTTCTCCATTGCCAGATCCCTCTAGCTATAGATGTCTAGTTGGGAAACTGAATTTCTTAACACATACACGACCAGATATTGCTTTTGCTGTCCAGTTTTTGAGCCAATTTATGCAAGATCCAAGAATTCCTCATTGGGAAGCTGCTCAACACACACTTCGTTATCTCAATTCTTTTCCTTCTAATGGTCTTTACTTCAATGCTTCTTCAGATTTTCAGCTGCAAGCATACTGTGATTCTGATTGGGCTGCTTGCCCTAACACAAGAAGGTCAGTCAGTGGATATTTTATTCTTTTGGGGGGAAGTCCTATCTCTTGGAAGTCCAAGAAACAAGCCACAGTCTCCTTAAGCTCTGCAGAGGCAGAATATCGTTCTATACGCAGGGTTACTGCAGAATTAACTTGGTTATCCAGGTTATTCAGTGATCTTGGAGTCCCAAACATTACTCCTATTCCCCTAAAGTGTGACAGTAAAGCTGCTATCTATATAGCTACCAATCCAGTGTTTCATGAGCGCACAAAACACATTGAACTGGATTGTCACTTTGTGCGTGAAAAGCTTCAAGAAGGTCTCATCACTCTTCTGCATCTTCCCACTTCTGAGCAGCCTGCAGACCTTTTTACCAAGAGCCTACCTGGTGCTCTTCATCACAAGCATGTTTCCAAGTTGGGGGTTTATACACCCTCCAACTTGAGGGGGGGTGTTAGCATATTAGCTGATTAGTTTTCAGTTACGAATTAGTTTTGGATAGTTAAGTTTGTTATGGTGACGTGGCAAACTTATCTTATCTTCTATCCTTTCTTAGCCCATGTATATATACTTGTACTTCTTCTTTTCCGGCTGTAATTTTTCAGAGAATACATTCAATAAAATTCTGTTTCGTTTCTCTTCTTCTCCTTCGTAATTTCATCATGAATTTCATCATGAAATTCAACATCCACCAAGAGGAAACACGGGAATAAAACGGCAGCAAAACCCATCATAACTCCAACTCTATTGGGCGTGAGGGTCAAGATGCACATAATATTACTTCAATAAAAAAATGGAGAAGTTGTTCCTACTATAATATTATGGCATAGTTGCATTTACTACCCAAAACTTCATAGATAGTAAGAAACAAGTAAAATTAACGTGCCATTTTGATTTAGGCCATAATTTCCCCAAAGCTAAAACGTTATCAATAATGACTCTTTTAGCTCAATTGGCAATGAACAAGACTATACAAGTAAGATCTGAAAGTGAAAACCACAGAACAAAATGCAACACAATGAAGCAGTTAACGATTGGTACAAATTGTCATTTCCCTCTGATACACAAAAACAGAACACATTAGAATTTCACATTCCATAAAGAGTAATTCACAGCATAGAGGTTTCTCTTAGCTTCTTATCCTCAAATATCCAACAGTATCTTTTGACAAAATGTTTGAGTTTCACAAAAAAATAAAAAATCAATGCAATATCCAAACACAAATAACACAATCGAATAAATTTGGAACAATCAACTGCGAATTGAGCCAAAAACACGTCAAGCAAGGTCTCTCTTCAAACATCAAAGTGAATAATTGAACAATTGAGAAAGAGAGATATACACCTGCCGATCCAGAAAGAGAGGGAGGCGCCAAGGAGCTTGGCAGAGAAGACGCACAAGACGGCGGGAAAGAATCCGAAAAGGATAGAAGCGCCGGCCTCGAAGAAGATGGCGTATGGAAGGCAGAGTGCGAGCGTGACGGTGTGGAGGCCGACGTAGACCGGGATCGCCCAGAACCCGAGCCGATCCGACATTTGTCTGAACCAATCAAGAGCGGCGTCTTTGTTCAGCTCCCATCCAAACTGCTTGCTCAAGACCTTCACCGTCACCGCTATCCCAGCCACCGCCGCTATCGTGCCCCATTTCCCGGCCAATCCCATATCAGAGGTGAAGACAGCCACGTAAACCGGAAATCGGTTAGATTTTGCACTTCAGTTTCTAATTTTTCAATTAAAAAAAGGATAAGTCTATGGGGACACCGCATATGTACACCGGATGTCCCCCATATACTCCATACCCCCCACACAATCCCATCTCCCAAAAAAATTCGACGTCCCTGCATAGTGTCTTCATCGCGCCGAGCAGCATCATCCCCTCGGGTTGTCGTCATCGCCGTCCCTCGCCGGTGATTGTCTCTCGCAGGGCGGGTGATTGTCTCTCGCAACATCATCACCTTCCAGGTATTATTATGCTGAATTATCATCTTTTAAGGGCTTAATTACATCAAATTTCTACCCAAAATGTTAAATTGCAGCGATTAAATACACCAATGAAATGCGTGGTCCGTAGTAGAAGAAATAGGTATTCAAATCCAGAATTTTTACGTTTTCATCTTGGATTATGAACCCTAAACTCCTAATTACCGTTATTTATGTCTATGTCAGAAAAATGGTAAATGTATGTGAACTGCTATTCACAGACGCGGAATATCTATTTTCTGTTTACAGTTCTTCCCTGCTTTGTATCCTCTTTTATCTGTCTCAATTATTACTTTTTGATCATCTATTATGAACCCTAAGTTGTGAATAATCTTTATTCCATGTTTAGTTTTTTAAAAAATGGCAAATGTATGTGAAATGCAACTCACAGACGCAGAATGTATGTGTTCAGTGTTACTTCCTTACGTGCTTCGTGGGTGCATATGCCCATGTATTATTATCATATCTCTAATAAAAGTACTACGCTAAGGTTATTAGTTTTCTTTGCTCTCTTATATCCGGTCACTATGGCAATGACAGATGTTTATTCTTTGCTCTCTTATATCCGGTCACTATGGCAATGACGGATGTTTATTTTGTAGGTAGAATAAAATGGCACTTATGGTTCCGACCAAAGATCACTTCCCTGCGCAGTATTCGGTGTGTGGAGAACTAGAAGATGTAGTGGCCATAGTTAGAAGCAAATTGAGTGTAGAGAATATGGTGAACTTTCGAAAATTGCCATTCGGTCATTTCATGGATGTGCGGAAGCTCCAATTTTCTGGACAACTCATCCATATCCTTATGCTACATCTCGTCCGCGAACAACCTGAAGACGAGATGTGGTTTATGATCAATGGTACTCTTAAGAAGTTCACTTTTGAAGATTTCTGTCGAATCACAAGTTTGCCGACTTCCAAGTCATATCCAAATTTTAGCAATGTGAAGTCTTTGTCAGAGACTATTCACAAGAAGTATCTTGGGGGGGGGGGGTGAACGGTGAAATGCACCTTCGCGCACTTGAGGAATATGTTTTTGACTGCGGAGGAAGATGTACCCGGCAGTGATTTACATAAGCTTGCCTCATTGTATTTTGTTGAGCATGTGCTGTTAGCAAAAGATAGAGGTACATGCATTGATGCCTCCCACCTCGAAGCAGTTGATGACCATGACGTGTTCAATGCATATCCTTGGGCTTGGGAGTCATACCTCTTGACTGTGCGGCATCTGAAGGGGATGATGGATGGCCAACCGGAGAAATTTCTAGAAAAGAAAAATAACAACTCCAATTTGAAGTCTTGGAAATATGCGTTGTATGGATTTCCACTTGTTCTGCAGGTAAGTTTAATTTATATTTCTTCTTCTACATATTTTTATATGATGGTTCATAAACCAACATTGATTTCCACACTGTCTTGTTTTCTCAGATTTCAGTCTATTTATAAAACAGACACTTCTATGCTAGGAGATGGAAAAACACTAACACTTCTCACCTGGGATCTGAATAAAACAGACACATCTGTTTGTGTATATTTATAAAACAGATTAAAAAATCTGTATGCCATGAATAATACAGACACATCATCTGTCTGACATTAATAAAACAGACACATTTTCTGAACTTTTGTAACATGTATAATTTAAAGTATATATTTCCATGTGTTTTATTTTCTCAGATTTGGGCTTATGAGACGTTTCCAGTGCTTGACGACGAGGTTGCTCAGTGTAATCGAGCGATAAAATGTCCATTGTTACGTTGGGGAGCCAAGAAATGCCCACAGTACCACTCTCTAAAGCAGTTGTTATTCCCTAATGAACCTGAAGAAGTCGCAAATAAGATGGTATCATAGTTGAGAATTTGATAAAAGCATCATTACCAAATCCTTGATGTATTTTTGATTTTTTACTAACTTATTTCCTTAAATTGTTTTAGGAAAACACACTTGATTTGTTGTTTAGAAGTGTTGAAGATTTAAAGAACACTCTAAACAAAAGGATTGATGCTTTGGAGGATAAAATTGATGGTTTGTGTTGTGACGTGAAGGATATGTTCACAGTTGATGGCAGGAAAAGGAAGGGGGCGGTAGACCATGTGACGAGGGTTGAACGAAGGAAAAGGAAGGAGAATGGAAAGGAAGTATTGAGCGTTCAAGGGAGAAAAAGGAAGAGGATGGGAGCTCACTATCGAGGGAAGAAAAAGAAGGCTGATCAATGTGAAGAAGAAGAAGCGGTAGAGGAAAAAGTAGAAGAAGAAGAGGAAGAAGGGGAAGAAGAAGAAGAAGAAGAAGAAGGTGAAGAAGAAGAAGAAGAAGAAGAAGAAGAAGGGGAAGAAGATGAAGATGATGATGATGATGATGATGAAGAGGCTACAAAAGAAGAAGAAGAAGAAGAAGACGACGTGGAAGTAGACAGAAAACAAGAATCTGAAAAAGAAGAAGAAGAAGAAGGTGGAAAAGGAAACTGGCAAGGAGAAGAAGCAGAAGAAGAAGGGATCAACGGAGAAAAGGTAAAGCAGGTTTTCGATATGCAAGCAGACGGGGGAGCAGAATGCAGTCAAGGCGAAGGTCAGCAGCTTGTCCAGAAAGCTGTGTATGATGTAAGTTTTTTACTTTTGAATTATTCTTGGATGTACACAGCTCTGTAACACTATAGTTGGGTGGGGAGAAGTGTCTGTGTAATTCATCTCATAGGCGAGAAGTGTCTGTGTTATTCATGTCATAGGAGATAAGTGTCTGTTTTTTATTGGACTAGGTGAGAAGTGTCTGTTTTTTCTACAATCCTGTGAGAAGTGTCTGTTTTCAAAGTTATGACCAGACATGATTGACATATAATCTTTTTTGCACTGTACATGTATGTAGTTGTATCAAGATAATATCATCAACACCCAAGAGTATGCTATAGCTTGTTTAACTCCTGGACCTGTTGAGCTTGTGTATGAGCAGGTGTGTATATTTTATGGGCTTACAAACACTTTATTTTATTGTACGTATTTTTAATTTTATACCTTATTGTTTATGTATTACAGGAACAAGTGAAGAATGATGTGGTTGAGCAACAGGCTTCTGCATTGCTCCCAAAGAAGGAGTTGGCAGCAGAAAATGCTAACAAAAGGGTGAAGAAAAAATCAAAATTTGTGAAGACCCCTTATACCGACCCAAGACACTGGAAGAGAAAATACAATCCACACAATCCATTCTCTATAACATTCAGTCATGAAGAATGGGATGAGCTGAATTCTTGGCTGGAAGAGGATGATGGTCAAGATCCTATTAGTGTACATTTGAACCTCACAACCGTGCACACCGTGGATCGTACTTTTTTTAGAACCCTTTTGTGCAATGATGCATGGTTGCATAGCGATGTATGTATGATTAATACATTTAATTTTTTTTTGTTTTTTCATCAATTTCACTAACTTTATTTTATACATGCAGCACATCCAAGCCATGGTAGAGGAAATGATGTGTGGCGTTCAAAAACTATCTCACCTGAAAGTGGCGATATATGGACCAATGTTTGTGGTAATTTTTATTCACTTTCTTATTGTTGTTCGAAAATCCGTCATGTAATTTTTTGTGTGTTTAAAAGTAATTCTACACGTTTTGTGTAGTGCCATTTGCTTGGTAAGGTAGTTGGTGATAAATCATGGCCCCATGACAGATACCTTAGAAGACTGGATTGGACACATTTGGATAAGGTCAACTTTTTCTATTTTCAAGAACCATATATGTAATAACATAAAAATGCTAATATTTTTTGTGTACAAATAGGTCTATTTTATATTGAATGCAAGATCAAAGCACTGGATTCTGATGGAGACTGATATGGTAATGAAAGAGGTTCGAGTTTACGATTCTATGTCTTCTTCAAGATTAACTTCCGATGTAGCAACAGTGGTTCAAAGGATACCGGCTCTTTTACGCACTGTAAAATGTAGAGTAGATCAAAGATCTTGCGATGAGTGGAAGACTGTTGTTGCAAAAAAAGTGCCCCAACAAAAATCTGAGTAAGCTTTGATTTTTTTCCAGTAACCCTCGGCTTTTTTATGTCATGTGTGCCCTGAAATGGTTAATTTATGTTGGTGCAGTTCCGGTGACTGTGGCATCATGGTACTTGCATTTGCGGAATACTTGATGGCTGGGTTGCCACTTCTACCCAGTTGTAAGCACGATCATGTCCAAGACTTCCGCAAAGAATTCGGTGTTCGCTTGTGGCGTTTGAGTAATGGGAATGAACCTAAACATTGTCCTTAAAATCAATGAATGCAAGGTGTTTTTGGTTGATAACATTACTTACATGTTGTGAATGGGGTATCTCCTTGTAACACACAAACATTTACTCTCTGACCTATTCCTGTAACACATCTTTTTTTTGTACCACAATGTTTTCCCATTTCGTCCTTTTTCTGCCTGTAATGCCATATATATTCTGCATGTCTTGCCATATCTACCATGTTTTCTTTCACAGACATTTTCTGCATTTATCTTTACCGACCCAATGACAGAAGTGTCTGTGTTTCTATTTTTTGAGACTTCTAATTACATACTTCAGACACAAGTGTGTGTGGAAGTATTTTGGCATCTACACTTTGTATGACTTAAAACTCTAGACACATACATATTCAAACTTTAATTATACACAAAATCACACATTTCTTGTGTATGTTTTTTTTCTTGTCCTATGCTTGGAGTGTCTGTTTTCTAAATATACCCAATGTCAAACAAAGGTTTGTTCTTTGCATCAAGTCCAATGCGAGAAATGTATGTTTTCAAAGTATACCGAATGTCATAGGCGAGAAGTGTCTTTTTTAACCATGTCCTAGGCTAGAAGTGTCTGTTATATAAATATACCCAGAATGTCAAATATATCTTGTGTATGAACATTTTCACTTGACCTTACTAGGATCTTCATGTTTTGACCAAAAAATCGTGACAGTTCAATACATATAGACACAGACATAAATATAGTACTAAGCACAGACATTAAATGTTTGTAACCACAATGTTCTGCGTGAGTTATGTCTGTGACATTTACATACAAAATCGTATTTACACAAAAATAAGGATCCATACCCTTCGAAGCTATGGAATGGCTAAAGACAAGTCCAGGTTTGTAAGGGTAAGGTAAAATACCCCATCGTCACCTGGGACATCCCACGCTTGAGGTGCGACTAGAACATGAGGTGATGCATCACTTGAATTTTGAATTGAAATTTCTTTTGCTCCGTTGCCGTTCTCTTTTTTGTTGAGCTTTCGTTTCCGAGTTTTTTTCTCCACAATTGACTTTAATCGAAGTTTACGAGGGGCGCCCTTACGCTTGGAACATGCGGGGTCAATGATGGTTGGCAAATTCAGATCATCTATATTTACATCAATCGGGCAGGTATTGTTTTCTTTCCTTGACCGAGATAGAAGCAACTTGCCGCGAATCCATTCTGTTACCTCATTGACTTGCTCTTCATCATCCGCGACTAAGTTTGCCAATTCTTTAAATTGAGTACACATAATATCATAACGTGTCTGTTCTGGGCTACATGACAAGCCATCATAATCAACTGGAACTCGCGTGTACGTTCGACACAGATCTCGTCGCCATCTGTCCAATATATACTGATCGGGTAGGAACTTAACCTTGTTCCTGATGAGAACAACAAGACAATGACGACATACAATCCCCCGAAATTCAAATAAACGACAAGTGCATGTCGCAAAATTTTTTGCAGCATCATACTGTACCACAAATCGCACTCTTTTATAGTAATCTTTACCAGCTAAATCTTTGCCACAAACATCCTCATCGATTTCGTACTTGATACCATTCTCACAAGAAGAAATGTCACAGTACATCTTACTTGTTAATTCCGTTCGGATTTCTATGAACTTTGCTGAGGTATAAACTTCTTGCACTTCATTCTCTTCATGTGTGGACAAATTACCGATGGCCGGCATGTTCAACACCGCTGTTTCTGGACAAACATTTCCAGCATTTCCATCAATTCCGTGTTCTTCAACACATGGCTCTCTGGACATGTCCATCTCAAAACCTAGAAAACAATATAATACCTTAGTATTAATGATATTTACCATGAGGGTGATATAAACTTGAAACTTACAATGCCCCGTTGTGTTGTTGTTTTCCTCGCACCCATCCAACATGTCAATGAAAGACATGTCAAGTACATGATCTATGTCATCAATGTCTATTACATCTGTCAAAGAAAAACAAATCACAACATTAAAATTCCCAGTTCCAATTATCACATACATTAAATGTCTGTTTTACACCTCATGAAATACCACACTGTCTGTGAAACCCTAAGCACAAACCTTAAGCACATACTTTGCTAAATTTTCTCGGTTCCATATACTATGTACATTGTATGTCTGTGTTGAAATACTGTAA